AGCTTGCAATGACTCCTCCCTCATTTCCATCCCGTGTCCTAATGTATTCATGTATGAAGTCAACTTAAGAACTAATTGTTCTTTACATTTTTTATATCTCACAGTATACCCATCTGGCCCCAGGCTCTTCCCCGTCACTGTACTCTTTAAAGCCGCCTGAATTTCCTCCTGCATTATCGGTTTTTCTAGACAGATTAATCGTTCCTTTTCGATTCTCAGTAATCCCCTCTTTCAAGTACATCTGTCTCCTTCTAATTCTTACTTCTTCCCCCTCTTTTGACTGCTTCGGTTTAACATTATATAATTTACTATAATATTTTTTAAATACATTGGCGATATTGGTGTTTGAGTAGACCAGTTCCCGATCATCACCTTTGATCTTTTCAATATAATGCCTTGATTTCTTGTTTCTCAGTGCTCTCAGATATTTACCAGGTTTATCCCCCCACTGATATCTCTCTCTTGCCATCATATTAAATTTTCTCGTTTCTTCCTCCAATAAATTACATAATTCTGATCTCTTATTTATTATATTCTTCTGTATCTCTTTTGTTATTCTCTTTTTATGTAACTGTTCTAGTTCATATAATTCCCTTAGGAGCGTATTCATTTTCGTTTGCCATTCCTTTTTTTCCCTTACTCCAATCGCTATCAAAATTCCCCTGATGTATGCCTTATGTGCTTCCCATACCGTGGCCGTCGAGACTCCCTTCAGTCTCATTTCTTTCAAAATATTGTTCAATCTCTTTTTTTATTCTTAATTCCGTCTCTTGATCCTGAAGGAGTGTCTCATTTAGTTTCCACATATTTCCCTCGACCTGCTCTCTTCCCCATGATGGTTTCTTTGTGACAGGAGCATGGTCCGATATAGTTGTAACTTCTATATTTGTTTTAACCACTGACTCCATAAATCTACCAATATATAGTCTAATCTAGAGTACATCCAGACATTCAATAGTTGACCGTGATATAACACTTTTCACATAGATTTCAAACAGCTGCCTTCTTCTCTCTGCCCATGCGACGTTGTATCAATATGAGGATCCATGCAAAAATTAAAATCTCCTGCCACAATTAATTTGCCCGTTTTGAAATCCATCAACCTTCTCAGTATGTTTTTTAAATGGGTCATTGGGTTTCTATTCGGGAAATACATACATACATACATACCAATGTACACTCTATTTCTTGTAGTCTCACCTTCAGAAACAAGAATCGCCCCTCAGGATCAACCACTTTATCTTCCAGTTTAAATCTTATATGTTTTGCTATACCTATTGTCACACCCTTAGCATGTTTAGTTGGTGAACCTGCATAATACCAGGTTGGGTGATACTTAGAATAAAGCTTTACATTTGTTTCCATTTGTAAATGGGTTTCCTGTAAGAATGCTACTGCAATAGTTCGTTGTTATAATTCTCAAACAATCTTATGCCTTTTCCCTGGGCTATTCAGCCCGTTAACATTATAGGTCATAAAACTAACCTCCTCCATTTAATTTTGTGTGTATATATATATATATATTTTTATTTTTTTTTCCTACGAGAGTATCGTCATCCCTCCGAAGGAACACAGAGCTAATTCCTACACAGTTACCCTCCCCCCCCTCCCCCCCACCTTATATCCCACCTCCACCCCCCCCCCTCATAACCCCTAGGCTCAAAACTTGCCTTTGAATCATTTGTGGCCCTAGATCCACCGTGAATTCTGGACTGTGGTGAAGCTCTAACCACATCCGCCCACCCTGACCACGCCCCCGATCCCTGGCCCGTGTGTCTAGGTGCAAATATGACCTCCTGTTTCCTGTCTCTCTTCTAAAATTCTCAAACTAAAAAAGGAAAGAGAAGGGGGGAAGGAGAGGAGACAGAGAAAGAAAAACACATCGTGGTAGGTCCTCTCACAACCCACCAACATCTCCCTCTCTCTCCTTCTCCCCTCCACCCATCTCAATCCTAATGTTCTCTCCTTCTAGCAACTAACTGCCAATTCTGATTTTCTATTCCCATGTTCTTCTCCACCCCTACTTCCCACCCCGGAATATCTATTTTCTGTATTTCTAGTCTCTCTCACAAACATCTGTTAAATCTTCTGGGAACCTCAGTCTTGTGGAGCGGCCCTCTTTCCATCCAATTAAACATGCAGGGAATCCCCAACTGTAGCGTACATTTTGTTTTCTCATTTGTTCTAGTAGTGGTTTCAACAGTCTCCTTCTGGCCAGTGTTTCTGATAATATATCTACGAAAATCTGCAAACTTGTATCTTCATATTTTATTACTGGTCTCCCCGCTTATCTTCTTCCACAAGTCCACTCTATCTTTATAATAGTGAAATCGTACAATCACATCTCTGGGCTTTCCGCTCACAGTTCCCTGGGGTCTTCCTATTCTATGTACTCTATTTTCAGGTGCTCTGTAACTGGTCTATCCAAAATTGTATTAAACATTTTCCTTGTTATTTCCACCAGATCTTCTTCTTGTGGAGTCTCAGGTAAACCATGTATTGTCAGATTGCTCCTTCTATCTCTGTTCTCTTGAGCTTCTAATTTATATAGCAGTCTCCTTTGCTCCTATCGCATCTCCTCCAACTGTTTTTCCAGGTTGGTTATTACCGGAGCATGTTTATCTAATTTTTCCTCAGTGACAACACTTGCCCCAGGTCTTTAAGTATTACTGAGAGCTCTTGTTTTATAGACAGCTCCAATCTCAATTTTGGTTAGCGTTTGTGCACCCTTTGGGTTTGGCCCTCTGCACATTCCCAGCTTTACCCTTCATGGTAATAATGTACTTTCTCTATCTTTTTTAATTTCAAAATAGGAAGGTTACTTCTGCGCAACATATTAAGGTTATAGCATGCCTAGGCTAGTGTCACAAAGATAGTCCTATATAACCATCCATCAATTTCTTCCCAGAGAATCTCTGTAGTCCCTTTTTTGTTCTTTTTTTTTTCCTTCTTTCTCTTTCTTCTCCCCTATCTCTGCATTCACTCCTTCTAAGCCCCCCAAAAGATCCTAAGACAAATTTAATCCATATAACTTTGTGACTCACCATCCACAGTAGTCCGTCATATGTCCTTCCTCCTCCCCTGAAGCACTCGAGGGGATCCAAAGATGGGATGATCTGTGGCGGTCACTGTTTGGGGGATCACCTTCCGTGGGTCTCTAGATCCTGCTTATTTCTGGGATGGGTAAGCAAGCTCTCCTTCACTTGTGACATCCAGACCTCTCGGTTACTCTCCACAACCGCCACACGGCCTCCCGGCATCCCATGCTCCGTTTCTCAGTGAGGTCCACCTCCTCACATACCGGCACCCAACACTCTGTCCTCCCTCCACACCGCCACCTCAAGCTGACGGCTTGCACCTCTGCCAGGTCGGACACTCCAGGGTGGGACGGTAAGGCAGTCTAAGGTACCCCAGGAGCTCACATCTCCCCGGGCATACCGGTCACTGGCGGGTCACAGGGGTTTGAATGTTACAGTGCTTTCACCATGAGCACCCTGTCGGCGCCATGTTTAGGCTCCCCCCCGCCTTCCTTTCTTCCCCATTCTGATGCTTATTTGAACTTCAGCAAGTCATCTTCACCACGTCTAAATGCATTGAGTTGCTACAATGCAATTGGCTTAGCAATTTGTGTTACCAAGCAATTGAACAGGTGTACCTAATAAAGTGGTCGGTGAGTTTATTTGCAAAGCAAGAGTGGAAGAGGCCTTCTTTCCCTTTAGCTTCCACATGGAGATAAATTATCTGCATGTCATCTACCTGTCTGTCTCTTTTGTGTTCAGTTGTCAAAATGTAAAAGAAACAAACTTAAAAAAGATTTACATGAGTAGACAAACTGTCGCTGCTATGTGCTGGAAGACATCAAATATACTTTGTCATGGAACAGAAACAGACCAAAAAATGATTGTCATTCCCAAACTCCAGGTCTTCCATGCTTAATTTGAGCCATATCATCTGTTGAGATTAACATTTTACACCTAAAGGCATGTCTTTAGTTTTCCTTTATCTTCACATAACGCAGCAAAACAATAGTAGAATATGTAAAGCACTAAATGAAAATAAAACATATATAGAAATTGCAGCAGTAAAAAAAAAAACAAACAACTTGAATTGTATTAGTTCAGTAGCTGCATTTATAATAAGGATGAAAACAGGTTATACAAAAAGTGGTTTTAATGTGTATTACAGATCAGTACAACAGAGAAACAGCATTCCTAGAACATGTCATTTTACATTACCAATCCAAACTAATCAGATTTAAATGCTCAATCTCTAAGGCTATATGTACACTGGAACTGCTGTAGATGTTAACTCTACTGGCAGCAGAAAATCACTAAACGCACCAAAAACACGTGTAAATGCAGTAGCATGTTTAGCAGCATTTAGTGCTTGGCCAGAGTACTTGCCATTGAAATGAATAAATGCCCAAGAGCTAAATGCAGCTACTACTTAAGCATGTTTACACATATTTTTGCCAGGTCTGGAGTTCTTTTTGGCCAAAACATCCCGCTCCTTAACGCAACCTGTGTACAGGAGAGGGACGTTTAACTGCCCATACTCTCTGCTGCTGCTAACACAGATAAAAGCATATGTGTGCATAGACACATAGGCTTTTATTGAGTTAAGTTCAGGGGCTTTAGCAAAAAAAAAAAAAAAACACGCCTAAAGCTCCTAAACTCATGTTTAGGAGCAGAAGTGTACAGGAGGCCTGATGCTGATTTTTCCATTGCAGTTTTGAATCTGGTTGCTTTGGGAAACAGCATTGGCAGTTCAGATTTCAGACACTTTACTAAAAAAAGTTCACAGATTTTTTTTCATACATTTTAAAAAAATATACCCTGCAAATAAACCTTAAGAAACAATAACCTTTCTAATTATATATTCAGTAGGAAGAATATATAATTGCAGTCGGCTATTACACTGTCTCTTGGTATATTTGAGCACTTCTATAACGCTACTCAAAACTTTGCATACAGCAGCTCTACGGTCAGTAGTGTATGTGATCACTTCTTTAGTTTCTTCTGTGCAGCTTTCTTTTTCACCATCTGAAGTCGCTTCATGGCAGTTAACTGTAAATCTTGAGAAGTAGGACCCTTGGCTCCAGACTGCTGTGTGCTGGGATCTACAGCTGCCTTGCTACTAGAGCTCCCACTGCTTCCTGCAGAGCTTCCCCCTCCATTATTGCCCATCTGATTGCTCAAATTGTTTCCAGATGAACCAATGCTTGGACTAGGCAGGCCTGTTTTGCTGACATTGTCACTACTCATAGAACGGCTGAGGCTGGTCTTTCCCAGAACGAGTGGTGGTAGAGGCTTTAGTGGTAAAGAGCTTGTGTTGCTGTTGCCTGATCCTGGCTTAGATGCAGAGCCTGACTTTATAGGTGCTGGGCCAGTTGAACCCAATGTTTTCTGACCTGAAGATAACGTGGGAGGTTTACCACTAGTAGTCTGTGCTGAGCTTCCAAGCTTTGAGGTTACTGGCACTGCACTGGCAGTCTTGGCTCCGAATGCTGCCCAGCCAGTAAGACCACTTGCAGCAGAAGATGACGACCCAGAGTTGGAGGAATTTCCAGAGGTTGTAGAGGAGACCTACATGAAGAGACAACAGATGTGTCCGAGAAACTGACCATATATCATATGTAAATCCTTATACATTACTGCACTAATATAACAATTACAAATTATAGGTTAAAGTACAGAAAAATACCTACTAATCTGCCAGAAATCTAGTAACCACCTAACGTCCTGTAGTGGGCTAACCACCTGCTGCACTGAAAATGCAAGCAGTCCCATTTCAGTTTTCCCCTGCTGAACTACTGAACCACCCCAACCCCTATATTATGGAGGCAAGAAGAGCAGGATATGGTATGTCGTTCATCAAAAGGAGAGCTGGGCAGAGCTGAGAAAGCTACCTGAGATTTCAGTGCAGCAGAGGAAGCATTGCCAGCTCACTACAGGAAGGTAGGCACTCACTGGACATTTGTCAGGACCAACAGGTATTTTTCTTTACTTGCATCATTTTTAAAGAGAGAAAACATAAAGAAATGTATATGCATTGCAGACATATACAAAATATGATTTATATTTTGCCCAGACATTCATTTTAACACTGGCAGCCTGGTATTACTTGTTGGGCTCCCCACTGTCCACCTCATTTTCACCAATCAGATGTAATAATCATTTCCAACACAGGTATCCAACAATAATTTAGATAAAAGAAGGGAACGCTTTCTCTGGGAAATAGAATAATATTGACAATGAAAATACAAAAATGTTTACTCAGCGCACATAATCTAGCTTTGTCTGCTGTTATCTCTCTCTAAACAAAACAGTGCTTGCCAGATGGTTCATTGATCCTTTGACAAATTGTGTCTGCTTGAAACAGCATTAATAACGAACGGAAAACATGAAATTGAAGGGGGACAGTGACCATCCACAGTTCACACTCTTGGCACACTGTGGAAAACTCTGTGTATACAGGTTGGCTACTCACTGATATTATATTTCCTTTATTACTCAAAAAGCCTGCAAGTTCGTATCACTGAAGTGTGTATAGTTAAGAAAATAACACACACCCCAAGCTTTGCACCTGTAAACGTCCCCTATTACTAATGGAGTTTAGGGAATTGTGTGGTATACTACATATACTCTCCACATTGCATGATGCTTCCAAAACTGCATGCATTAAAGACAATCATCTAAGCCAGGGGTCTCCAGACTTTTCAGTATGTGGGCCAGATTGTGCATTCTACAAATATTCTTGGGCTGAATAGAAATCCGTTTTATAAATGCCCAATGTTCAAAATAATGGACGGGCAGACCTACATTTCCCCCTGAAATCTGCCATAAATGTGTCTAACACACAAGTCAAGCTTTCACTTTAAACTGAAATATATTATTTGCTGTAAATAAAATAACTTTAAAAAAATGTTTTACTGTGCCTCTTGTCTAATTTACATCTGTTAAGAAAACATGCAGGAGAGGAGTGCAGATGTCAAGTAATGCAATACCTTAACTTCAGATCTCTTAAAAGCTAGGAAGGAAGTTGAAGAATCTGGCTTAGGCTTCAGTTCAGGCTTGATGGTGGATGTGTCCTTTACAACTGGTATTGCTGCCGATGCTATAGAAGAGGCAGGCTTCTGTGTTGGCTTCTGATTTTTTAGTGCCTGTAGGTGGAAAGAAAAGGAATTAGTATATAAAATAAATTTAGCCAAAGATCTCTAAACTGTGTGTGTTTTTAAACATCTACTAACCTAATTTTCTTACATGGAAAAATAAACTATTAGCAAGCAAATATTTGTTTAGCTAGGCAATTATGCTAAATAAAATTATGTTATATTTTCTTATCTAGAAAGCATCTATAGAGTTGGAATTAAATCCATGTCTATAAACTGAAGATATTAGAGCTGAAAAATGAAAAGTAGAAGGAGAAGTGAACTTTAAAGCGATATTAAAACCTTGTCTTTGTCCATGTCCTTAAAAATGATCCTTTCTTCCAGTGGGTTCTCAGGTCACTGTCCATGCCTCCCTGTTTGTGGGTGTGTCCTTTAGCTAGCCAGATGCTAAGGAGACACTTGTGTCATCCTTTCCCTTCCTAAATGCATTCTTACTTTGAACCTGCAGTCATGACCTGCAGGGTTTGTTTATCATCTCGACATGAACATCTTTAATATGCTGTATCTGCACAGTAAGTCTTCATAGAATTCCTTTGGCATCATCTTCCAAGGCTGGAGGTGCTAAAGGAGTATTCCCACAAAAGTCTGTGGGGAGCTACTGTAAGCCATAGTGTAAAGATATTCAGGTAGGGAAGTAAACAAACAATAGGTGCTCCAGCCACTAGGTTGATGCAACTGGAAAGAGTGGGTTTAAGTCAGGAAATGCAGTAGAAAGGAAAAGTTCATAGTGCCTTAAAGTGCATGCATCCTTTCAGGTCCATGAATCATATAACTTCTAACATGATTTCTTAGTATCCACTACTACCCATAGTGATCCATTAAGCAATGCATAAGCCCGTACACTTTGCTGCATTTCATGTACAAAAATCAGTTACTGGTATAGCAGAAACTGTGATCTTTATAAAGGAAAACACCTGAAGAGCAGGGATCCTCACCATTCTTTTCATCTGCCTAGTACAGCGGGCACAGTACCAAACCAGGCGAGGGTCATTCACATCCTTATCTGTGACTTGAGGTTTGTGGCAATCCTGATGATAGAGGTTGTGGCACTCTTGGCATTCCACAAGCTGGTTACCAGAAAACACAGTCATTTGTCTGGAATTAAAAATAAACATCTGAAGTTCCAAAAAGCCTTTGATATCAGAAAATTATTAAATTGTATCTAAAACAAAAACACAAATCAATTACATTGTTGCACGTGTTTCTATAATGTCAGACAGTTTAATCAATCTATCTATCTATCTATCTATCTATCTATCTATCCATTAAATAATACCAGCAAAATGTATTCACAGATACTTTATGTCCTTGTTTGACAAGGCTTAATCAGTTCAGCAGCACTGTTCCAGTGTGCTCACAATTTGAACTACAGCCATACCAAAGCACAGTGTGCTGGTGAACTGTCGTAGTCTTCGTAGTACAAATGTGACACTCAGCTGCTATTGGAGGGTGCACACTTCCACACGATGTTCATAGAACTAGTCTACAGGGTATGCACAAAACAGCGAGAGAAAACACATATAAAGTAAGAGGAAAACTATTTTTTTAACAAAAAATAATACAATGCTGTTTCAGCAACAATACTATACAAAACCAAGTATTCTTTAGTAAAAGTTTAGTTTTACTTTAAAGGATAAGCTCACCTATGGGAACATGTTACATGTTTCACCCTAAAAACTTCTCCCCGTACTATCTCCCTTTCCTCTGACAGATAGTACGGGGAGAAGCTTCCCCATACTATCTGTCAGAGGAAGGGGAGATAGTACATAGATTTAAAAACAGCATGGCCGTGCAGGGCTCCAGCCACATGGCTGCGTTACTCATTCAGAGTTCTGTGAATAAGTGCCTACAAGTCCTGGAAGCCTTAGCGGCTGTCGGCTTTTAGCTTTCAATTAACTACCACGGCGCTGTGGAGCAACTTGGTAGTTCGCTGAAGCTTCCTGTCAGAATATCTGCTTGCTTGTACATCCCGTACGGCAAGCAGATATTCTGACAGGTATGCTGGAGACCTGCATGACATCAGTGATCTACTGATCGCTGGTGCAATGCTTTCCAGGCTCCTGTAGATAAAAATAATAAATGCACATTTTTTTACCTGCAAAAAAAATATGCATTTATTATTTTTGTCAAAAAAGTGAACTTATCCTTTAAAATGGGCAGAATCTAAGAATTAGCCTTGTATGCAAAATATTAAATACTGAAGTATGCAACACAGGAATTAATAAGGAAAAGGGGATTGAAGAAAGGTGAGCTTTCTGTTCTTGACATACTAAATTGTTAGATGTTTTAGGCCTCATGCACACAGGATGTTTTGCCAACTCTCCTTGCTTTCCTCCTGGCAGCAGGATTTTGGCAGAAAAAACTTGTCGCTTAATGCTTGTAAAAGTGTGTAACTCGTTTAGGTGCATTTACAGGCGTCAAGCACTTGGGCGTTAATTTATTTAACTGGACAAAATAAAAATGTATTCTTGCCATTGAAATTAATTAACGCTCAAGCACTACATGCATCTAGTGTTAATGTGTGTTTAGAAGCGTCAAGCGCTTTTTTTCTGCCAAAACTCTGCCGCTCCTGAAAGCGCTGGCAGTGGGAGTTTTTCTCGCCTCTTAACTCCTCTAAAAACCTATGTGTGCATTGACACATAGGGGTTGATTTGCTAAAGGTAAATATACTGTGCATTTAAAGTGCAGTTGCTCCAGAGCTTAGTAAATGAGGAAAAGCTTCACTTTGCAAAAAATACCCAATCACATGCAAGGAAAATAGAAAAAACAGCATTTTTACTTGCACATGATTGGATGATAGAAATCAGCAGAGCTTCCCTTCAGATCTAGAGCAACTGCACTTGCAGTGCACAGATTATTTGCCTTTAGTAAATCAACCCCACAGGCTAACATGCAGGGACGTTTAAAGGCAGGAAAAAAAGAGCGCCAGACGCTCCTAGCAGCAGCTGACAAAACGTCCAGTGTGCATGAAGCCTTAAGCAGATTGCTTGTTTTGACATACATTATAGCAGAGCTGTTTGCAATAAGATCAACAGTCCTAATATATGCTCGTAAAAATGTAATACAATGGCATTTTTAATTACTGGTGTATAGAACAAGTAAAAGGCAATGACCACCTACCGACAGACCACACAGGCAAGACCCATCTCCATGGCAAAGTCATCAGCATTAGTTTCATCAAAACTAGACAGATCAGGAATAGGCAGGTCCTTGCTGGGCTGTGCTGGGTTTGGGGAGGAGCGAGCTTCTAGCTTCTCCAAACGAGGTTTCTTTGGTAAATCGACAGCATCACCAATATCCAACTTCATCTACCCCCACAAACACATACAAAAAAACAAGGATGAGAATGGTGTTAACTCAGATTCACATATTTTTCTGCTTGGATTTATCTGGGGAAAAAAAATGTGTAAATCCTGGGTGAAAATATGTGACAGAATTGAATAGTTCTCATGTGTAAGAAGTCAGTTAATTGCATATAGCAGAACATTTCTTATTATTAGCCACCTTTTGGGAAACCTAAGCAAATGCTTTAAGTGTGAGCCCAGAAGCAGGATATTGGATTTGCCTATGGGATATATCCCTCAAAAATATAAAAGGAAGTACTCAATTGGTGTGAACTGTGTCAAACATTCCATATTTTGCTGCTTCAGACTTCACAAACATAAAAGACATTTAAATTAGTGTTAGCTATTCATCACTATGGTGATGACAATAACCTATGATTAAAAAAGTATAAATAGAAATCACAAACATATTATACATTTTCGTGAGCACTACTGACATAACAGCATGAAAAATGCAGCACCCTGTAGGGTTTTCAAGCAGGTTTGTTTGTCCTCAACTGAACTAAGCCTACCCCCTGCTATACAAGGGTCCATTGTGGAAGTCTTTCTCATACCCTGACCTTTTGATTGCTCATAGGACATATGGACATAGATATACATCCATTAATTAACACTCAGTGTAAAGTGTGTGCCCAGATTCCAGGGGCTCTGTAAACTATCAGAAAACTACCCAAAGATTAACAAACATGCTTACAGTCATCAAAGGTGACATTTCTATTAACCTCCCTAGCAGTCGGATTATGTCCATGTTTCTGTGCTCAAAGTGGTACCTTTTTTTGCATGGAAATATGTTTTTTTTTTTATTGTAGGCCTGTAATTTTTAGGAATAACTCGCTGAAATCTGTCCGAACAAGAGTCTAGTAAACATCCCGGGTAGGATAAAACTTGAAACACGAAATCATAAATTATAATTTAATAAATATTCATAAAAAATAATAATATAATAATAAAAATTTAATTCAATAATATAATCAAACCAAAAACACTGAAATTTGAAATATAGCGCCAAGTTCGCACATCACTGAGCAAAGTCGCAAAATCGATTTCGGTGTGTGATGACGAATTTCCCCACGAATCATTATCACTCAATTCTGCAAGTAGTTCTGATTTACTATCGCTGTTCTCTAGCTGGTCTAAAACCGATTTTGACCTAAAGGAATGCTTTTTGGACGCCATGGACATTTCTCAGTTTCCAGGCAGAAAGAACAGTAAAAATGCAGGCAGGGCACAGGACAAAGCACTCGGGACAAAATGTATGTGAAATGGTTTGATACAGTAATGTTTTACTATGAGATTTTAGTGAATGTTACTTTTTGTCATTTTCAAATTTCCCGCCGTTCCATCCCCCGTACGTCCCGACGTTCGCAGGGAACGGAACCCAGATGACAGATGGCGGCATCCGCCAGATTACATTGCCGCTGACACTGCAGGAGGGACATCGCGGGAGCACAGGACAAGGTAAGTGATCGAGGGATCGCGGAGCAGCGCCGCATGGTAAGTCCAAGTGTAGCTTGGGGTTACCGCTTGTGGTACTGAAACTTTATCCCGAACTACACTCGGGAATACAGCCAGGGAGGTTAAGCTGCACACTTTTGCCCACCTGACAGTTTACTTTAAAGTTGAACCCAAGGAAGATATAAAGGACATTAAGTGGATGCAGCAAGGTCTACTTTGATGAATAATTTACATTTAAATGCAACTAGTGAAACTACATGAAACGGACTTGGCATTATCATCTTGCAATCCCATATACAGCAAACTGGGAGAGGGAGGGGCAGATTGGGGGGGGGGGAATGGGCATGCTGCATGAAAGATTCTGACAAGGGACATGCTGATAGGAGGAGAGAGCAGAGTGATCTGCTTTTATACTGTCTAGTCAGCAGGATGGTGGTGAAGAAAGGACACCACTCTATACTTTCTACAGTTTAACAATAGCAGAAAACGGGTATCCACCTGGCAGGGATTTATGACAGGCTTGTGTAAAATGAAAAGCTAGAAGGCCACAAATACAAATACTGTGGCAGGTATAATTTATATTTATTTTATCTCACCGGTTTATTTAACCATGTATCTAAAGTTCAGTTTTAAAGCGCATTTCAAACCCATAGAGGACCTATATTAATAACAGACAATAAAAGCATTGTTTTACCTTATCTGCTGATCTCTTCTCAGCTTCCTTCTTAATCTTCTCTGACGGCAGTGGTTTGCTTAGGTTGTTGCTACTAGTAGTACTGGTGTTTACTTTGGCTTCTGATTTTGGTTTAGGTATTGTGATTTTAAGTGGATCAATATCCTTAAACATAACAAATAGAAAATCAGGCAAGTGTGGCTGATAACTATGAAAAATATAACATGTCCAATAACAAATAATGGCATGCATTTAAAGAGTAACTCCACTTTTGTTGAGAAACAATAATCCCCACTGGGTGATCAAAGTATACTGCAGGGATTTTAACAAATTTTGTAGTAAAGACTACCTTTTGTTGTTGTGAAGAAATAGCTGTTTTTTTTTCACCAGAACAATTTCATACTTATTCTGAATGGAGTGACTGGTTCATTATGTATTTATTTATTATATGTACTTATACAGCACCATACATTTACGCAGCACTTTACATATATATATTGTACATTCACATCAATCCCTAACCCTCAAGGGGTGTACAATCGAAGGTCCTAACTCACATTCATACATACACATACTAGGGACAATTTTTAGACAGGATCCAATTAACCTACCAGCATGTCTTTGGAGTGTGGTAGGAAACCGGAGTACCTGGAGGAAACCCACGCAGGCACAGGGAGAACATGCAAACTCCAGGCAGGAGGTGCCATGGTTGGGATTTGAACCAATGACCTTAGTACTGCCAGGCAGAAGTGCTAACCATGTAGCCACTGCGCTGCCCATTATAATCAGCTAGTGCATTTTCTATGTTCTAACGAGGAAAGCTGCAGTGTATCCATTCCCTTAGAGCTAATTTAAGTAAATCACCAAAATTTCCAAAACGCAAATTTGCCTAAAATCTGACTTTTGGGTTACAGTTTTGTACATCAATGGTGTACAGAACACCTCCAGGTTGCCTTGTTGCTTTGAATTTTACAGAAAATGATAGAGGCTGCAGATTGAAAAGGAAAGGTAATTTTTTAAAATATTAAATGTCACTAAAGGCAATTTCTTTTAAATTAAAATGATAAACATGTTATACTCACCCACTTTGTACAATGGTTTTGCACAGAGCTCCTCTTCTGGGGTCCCCCACCAGCGATCTTGGTTCCTCCTCTTCTCCATATGCCCCCAATACAAGTGCCGTGCGTGCTCGCTCCCGAGCTGTGTGTGTCTATGGTGCCACGCTCCATAGATGCACACAGTGCGGCTTGGCTCCACTCCCACCTCACATCATTTTATTGACAACAGCAGGAGCCAATAGCTACTGCAGCTGTCCAACTCCCTGTGTGAAGAGGAAGAGAGGAGAGAAGAGATCTAGCCATGCACAGAGCTGCATTGATTGAGGTAAGTATTTAGGGAGGTGGGGGAGGACAGCAATCTGTAAAACACTGTTTACTTTAATGCAGGGAATGCATAAAGGTAAAAAAAAAAAAAAAAAATAGTTTCGACTTTAGAAGAACTTTAAACTACAACATGGTTTCTGCAGCAATTGTGTATCCTATATTATTATATTTTTTTTTATTTGCTACATTTTTCCATTAGACTGGGTTCACATTTGTGCAGGACCGGTTTCAGTGCGATTTGTAAAAAGAGTCCGGTGCGATTTTGTTCAGCGGTTCAGATGCAAATTTCTAAACTGTATGACACTAGAAATCACACCTGAACTGGACTGAAAATCATACCTGACTCTTTTTAAATTCTCATACATATGTGAACCAGCTACATAGAAAGCAGGTTTGGTTACATCATGTGAATCAGATGTGGTTCAAAATGCATCCAGGGCTTAAAGTGGAGTTACCCTTTAAATTTTGAAGCATGCACTATTTAAACATAAACGTCCCAGTAGACAACAACAACAAAAAAATTACATATTTTATTTTTATTCTAGTTTCCCATTTTATGTTTCAAATATTTTTATTGATTATGTTAAAGAAGAAAATAAGACAATACAAGCTGAATTCTCCACACAAGCTGTGAATGAGAACAGACAGACGTGATATGCTTAGCATAGCAGCATCATAAACAAAGTAAAAGAAAGAAAAGAATACCTAAAATATTGGACTAAGTTCATAGTCTAAAAGAAAATAATTCATTTCAATAAGTTTTACAGTCTACAACCAAGCAAGGTAACAAAAAGGGTCCCCATATCACAAAGCATTAGAGGAAGTCTTGCAGCATTCCCATGATACCTGGTGGTTGTAGGTTTACATCAAAAACTCCCTAGAGTCTTTTCAAATTGACTCTTATGATAGACATTAATATTGATATCAATTCTAGATGTTACTGCTTCTGAAGGAAGACTTTATTTAGTGTCAAAATAAATTCTAGCATTTCCCTGAAATAACCTGAATCGGCTTTTTGGTTGAGTTGTTAATACTAGAGTACTTAGCTCCTATAGGATAAATTGATTGTGAAGAAATGTCTAAAAACATCTTTACAGTTTAAGACCAAAGCATACAAACTATGAGACATGAGGAGGTTACTGTTCACAATCTAAAACATAACAGAAAAATATTTTAATATTTAATCTGTCTTTTTACTGGATTAATGAGGAATCCAAGCTGCTACTGCTGTTACTAAATAAAAAAACTGTCAAAACAACCATATGTAATATATAGTATATGAACACAAAGGACGTTACTGGGACACATAATAGGAATTATGACGCAGAGGTAAACATGACATTTTAAAACTGCTGACAGGCAGGGTTATTATAACAGAAGAGTCTACCCTGTCACAAATGCTTCTCCCTGTCTGTCAGCAGTAATGTACACTAAGCCACGCGTGTGCAGCTCAGAGTACATTTACTGTGTCATTCTGTGCCTTGATTAAAAGGATAGGTTCACCTTTGGGAACATGTTACATGTTAGCGTGGAACATATAACATGCTCCGCTCCGCTCCTGTACGCTCGTCAATACCCTCTCTCTCTGTGACAGCAGTACAGGGAGATGTTCCCTGTACCAGCTATCACTTTTTGAAGACAGCACAGCCACACGGGGCTCCATCCACATGGTTGCATCATTCATTCACAGAGTTCTTTAAATCTGAAAACTACAAGTACTGACATCCTTTGCAACTGTTGGCTTGTAGTTCTCAATGAACTACCAAGGTGTTTTAGAGTGCTCTGGTGGTTCATGGATTCTTCCTGTCAGTGTGAAACTGGATGCCCGTACAATGTACGGACAGACAACTTACACTGACAGTCTGCAGAGCCATGCATGGCACCAGTGATCTGCTGATTGAGGTGCAATGCTTTCCAGGCTTCAGATTAAAAAAACAAAATTGTAAATGCATATTTTTTTTATTTGCAAATCATTTTCCTTTTTTCCTTTTTTTTTTTAAAGGTGAACTCATCCTTTAAGTGATGTGTGCATGCGTGGGAGTGACATCATTGCAGTCCGTTCATTCCTGCAGCCAAACAGAGCAAACCTGGAAGGTAGACTGGGCAAAGATGGAAGCATCTGGGACCATTTAAAATGCTGACCCTGCAGTGCTGGAGGGCTTTGTTTGATAGGTATGTTTGCCATAATATGCTAGTATGTGCTAAATACTAGCACATTATGACATAAGCCTCCTCGGGGGCCATTAAAAAAAATGTAGTGGAGTTTCATTCTGCTTTAAATGCCAAAGATCCATTTGTACTGTTATTATTATTATCATCATTATTATTATTACTACCATTATGTATATAGCGCCTACAATTTCCACAGCGCTTTACATTTTTGTACATTCACATCAGTCCATGTCCTCATGTAGCTTAAAATTTAAAGAGGAGCTACGGTCTTTTAAAAAGTAAACAAAAAACCCCAATTCCAAAAAAGTTGGGACCCTGAGTAAAATCTACATAAAAACCAGAATGCAATGATTTGCAAATATCATAATCCCATTTTTATATGTATTGATATCACATGTTTAAACTGAGAAAATCTACAATCTAAAGAAAAAAAATCAGTAATTTTTTAAACTGATGACAGCAACACATTTCAAAAAAGTTGGGGCAGGGCAACAAAAACCTGCCAAAGTAAGTGGTACTAATTAGGAAGAGCTGGAAGAACATTTTGCAGCTAATTAGGTTAATTGGCAACAGGTCGGTAACATGATTAAGTATAAAAAGAGCATCTTAGAGTGCCTCCGAAGTAAAGATGTGCAGAGGTTCACCTATCTGTGAAAAGCTGTAACAAAAAATTGTTGAACAATTTCAGAATAATGTTCCTCAACCTAAAATTGCAAAGACTTTAAATATATCATCATCTCTTGTACATAATCTCCATAGAATCTGGAAAAATCTCCAGGGAAATGTGCACAAGGGACAAGGCCAAGAGGCAATATTGGATTCCAGTAGTCTTTGTGCCCTCAGATGGCAATGCATTAAAAACATGCATAATTCTGTGATGGACATCACTGCATGTGCTCAGAAATACTTCCAAAAAACACTGTGAACACAGTTCACCGTGCCATCCAAAAATGCAAGTTAAAGCTCTATCAGGCAAAGAAGCCACCATACCTGAAGATGATCCAGAGACGTAGCCATCTTCTCTGGGCCAAAGTTTATTTTACCACTTGCCATCCTGAGGATTTACCCCTCTTAATGACCAGGCCTCTATTTGGTGCTGCACTATTTCAACTGATAATTGCACGGTCATGCAATGCTGTACCCAAACTAAATTTACATCCTTTTTTTCACACAAATACAGCTTTCTTTTGGTGGTATTTGATCACCTGTGTGCTTTTTAATTTTCGCACAATAAACAAAAAAAGACCGAAAATTTTGAAGAAAAACAATATTTTTTACTTTCGCTATAAAAAATATATAGTAAACTCAAAGTTAGTTATAAATTTAGACCAAAATGTATTCTGCTACATGTTTTTGATAAAAAAAAATACCAGTAAGTGTATATTGATTGCTTTGTGTGAAAGTTATAGCGTTTATAAACTATGGTATAGATACTGCAATTTACGCCATTTTTTTTGCTATACAGTGCTGCATAGTTTAACTGACAATTGCGTAGTCATGCAATATGATACATAAATGAAATTTACGTCCTTTTTTTCCCACACAAATAGAGCTTTTTTCGGAGGTTTTTAATCACTGGTGCACTTATTATTTTAGCGCTATAAACAAAACTTTTTGGAACCCCCCCCCCCGATATTTTTTCTCATTTCTGTGATAAAAAAATAGCCAAAAAACTCAAATTTCATAAGAAATTTAGGCCAAAATGTATTCTGCTACATGTTTTTGGTTTAAACAATCCTAATAAGTGTATATTGAGTGCTTTGTGTGAAAGTTATAGTGTCTACAAACTATGGTATAGATAACGGAATTTACACAGCTTTTACTTTCTGACTGCCTATCACATTTCTTGCTAAAATACCAGGACAGTACAAACACCCCCAAATGATCCCTTTTCGGAACGTAGACACCCTACGCTATCTGCTGAGAGGCATATTGAGTCCATGGAAGATTTATTTTTTTCCACAAGTTTTTGGAAAATGACAAACATTTTTTTTTTTTTACACAAAGTTGTCATTTAAATTATATATTTCTCACACAAGCCATGGGTATATGTGGAATTACACCCCAAAATACATTCTGCTACTTCTACTAAGTATGGGGATACCACATGTGTGAGACTTTTGGGGAACCTAGCCACATACAGGAGCCTGAAATCCAATGACCACTTTGAAAGCCTGCAGGTGCGTAACTTCCTCATTTCACTTCCTCACAACCTCTCAGTTTCAGAGGCCCTGAAGTGCCAGGATAGCACCAAACCCTCCCTAAATGACCCCTTTTTGGAAAGTGGACACCCCAAGGAATTTAAAAAGAGGCATGGTGAGTATTTTTTCTCACAAGGTTTTGAAATATAAAAAAAAGAAAAGAAAAAAATATGTTTTTGTTTTCTTTCCTCATTTTCCAAAAACTCTTGGCAACAAACGAGATCTGCAAAATACTCACCATGCTTCTTATCAAATTCCTTAGAGTGTCTACTTTCCAAAAAGGGATCATTTGGGGGGGGGGGGGGGTTTGGTGCTATTCTGGCATTTCAGGGCCTCCAAAACTGTGATAGGTAGTCAGGAAGTGTAATGAGGAAATAAAGCCCTTTAAAAGCCTGAAGGTGCTTGTTGGATTTTGGAGTCCTGTACTTGGCTAGATTGCCAGAAAGTCTCTCACATGTGGTAACCCCATACTCCGGAGAAGCAGCAGAATGTATTTTTGGTAGTAAGTCCACCTATAATCATGGTATGTGTTAACAATAAATCATTTAAGTGACAATTTTGTGTAAAACAAATTATTTTTTTTTGTAATTTTCCAAAAACTTGTGGTAAAAAATAAGTTCTTCTATTGACTCAACATGCCTCTCAGCAAATAGTTTAGGGTGTCTACTTTCCAAAAAAGAGTTGTTTTGGGGGGTGGGTGCTCGTCAGTTCACCAAAAGGTAGAGTGGCACTAGTGCTGACACTCTGCTGCATATGAGAGTAAGCCGGGGCTGATCCCGCTAACGCTGCGTTTTTGGGGACACTATACTAATGTGAACGCTGGTATAGTGCTGATCTGACACTATACTAGCAATGGAGGTTTATTGTGTATGAGCGTGTTATAGCATCTACAAATGGCGGTATAGATACTGGAATTTGTTTTTTTAAATACTAATAATTGTCATCGACTTATGGCGGCGATCAGCGACTTATAGCGGGACTGTAGCGGGCATTCTGACACTGGGGGGAACTGACTTGTTGTCACTGACATCCCTAGTGACACCAATACAGTGATCAGCGCTAAAAAAAAGCACTGACACTGTACTAATGGCACTGGGGAAGAAGGGGTTAACAATGAGGGGCGATCAAAGGGTTAACTGTGTGATGGGAGTGTTTTACTAGGGGGCTGGGGGGGGGTGTGCTTCACTGTAAAGCACACTGATCGGGATGGCTGTGCTTAGCCATCCTGAGCAGTGTGCCTAAACTGACAGGGAGGAGGGCTGTTGGTAAACAATGCAGCCCTCCTCCCTGTCGGTGATCACTGGTAATCACTGGGCGCCGGTGGGGGTAATCACCGGCAGGGACCCTATGACTGACACCCGCTGCCGCGATTGGCGTCGCGGATAGGGCGCACGTGCACCCCCTACCCGGAGATGCAGAATCACGTATATATACACGTGAACCTGTGCACAGGGGCCGTCCTGCAGCAGTAAATCTACTGTGGGTGGTCCTAAAGCAGTTAAAATGGTCTGTTGCAAAGTGGAAAACTGTTGTGTGTTTAGACAAATCGAAATTTTAAATTTTTTTTGGCAACTATGGGCGCCACATCCTCTGGACTAAAGAGGAGGGCCTTTCTGCTCGTCACCAGTGCTCAGTTCAAAAGATTACAAGATTACTGTGAATAGTGAAGCGCTATAGATAGAATTGATTTATAGCGCTTCACCATCAACAGTAATCTTGTATTCATACTTATTGGTTGTAAGTCGAGTGGCAGCAGCTATATTGAGGTTTTGCGGCTTCCGTTACAAGCGCAGGAGGATATCCAGTCAGTTCAAAAGATTGCATCTCTAATGATATTAGGGGTTCATTAATGTGAATGGAATGGGCAGCTTGCCCAAATAATAATATGTGTTTAAAGCAGTTGAAAACTGCAAAAAAATAAATATAAAAAAACCTTCTCCCCGCAAGTTAAGAGCATAATGTGCTAGTATGCATACTAGCACATTATGAATTTTCTGAAAACAAAGTCCTCCAGTGGAGCGCCATCACGGCTTCCATATTCACCCTGTCTTTCTTCTGGGTTCGCAGGCAGCGGCCATTTGACTGGCCGAGCAGCAATGACGTCACTCTCTCGCTTGCGTGTGGGAGTTTCGGCCATGGAACAGCTCTCTCAATGGATGGCACGCTGTCCATTGAGAGCACAGTGCACATGCGCCCATGACATCACTGGTGCTGCTGCAGTAAATATTTTAACGGCGCACATTTAGGAGATATTTAAAGTATCTACAGGTAAGTCTTATTAAAGGCTTTTACATGCCGGATTTTACATGCAATCACTGCCAGCGGATATTATAGCAACATGTAACTGTATGACTGGCCCCTGCACCCTCCCCAATCCCCCGATGTGACAGCTAGTGGGGATTCTTCTCCTCCCTCCCCCCCAGCTGTCACAATGAAAAAAAAAATAACGCCCACCCGTGTCATTCATTCACAGAGTTCTGTGAATGGGAAACTACAAGTCCAGACACCACCATTGCAGCTGTTCTCAATGAACTACCATGGTGCTGTTGAGCGCTGTGGTAGTTCTTTGATTCTTCCTGTCACTGTAAAACTGCCTGCCCATGCAATGTGCAAGCAGACAGATTACAGTGACAGTCTGCAGTAGTCCTGCATGGTACCAGCGATCTGCTGATCACTGAGGCAATGCTTTCCAGGCTCCTACAGCAAAAAATAGTAAATGCAAAAAATGTGGTCAACGTCTCCTTTAAACCCTAATCAGATGAGAAAGGTGAGTGGACATTTGGCTCAGAAAAAGGCTTCCCTGTTGTGTTAGCTCAGTTTCCATGACTGAAATGCTTAGATTTGATTTACATGATGAGAGGAAGGATAAGCAATATAATCACAGAAAAAGTTAACAACCTTTTCACTGCCAACATCAAGTGCTCCATCACAAATTGGAAGCCTTTGCTCTGGCAGGTACTGGAGCATGACATTTGTTTGGAAGACAAGCATATTAGAGACTAGACTGGAGATCCAGTAGCAATAAACAGAAGCCTACTGCAGGACAAAATGAACTCTTTCTGAAATGCTGTTTACTGCTTTTGTCTCTTATAAGCCAGTAATTGGAGTGCAAATATTGCATGGGCTCCTTTACTTATACATTCATTAACATATCTAAAAGCAAGTCAGCTGTGTCTCTTCTGAAAGGATCTATGTAGTGACCTTAAGCCTTGGTTCACAGTGATGCGGTGTGGAGCTTGCAGCGTTTTCTGTGTGAATTCCGCACCGCATCAGAATCGCATTCCGTTCATGCGAAGCGCTGCGGGTGTGCATGTTAAGTTAACAACACCCTGAAAGTGGTCTGCAAAATGGGGTGCGATGTGCACAATCAGATCGCATTGGTGTGAATACCCATGCGATCAGATTCTAGTGCGGACCCAAAAAAGGGTCCTGTACCTTTTTGGTGCGGGGTGCAGTGCGATTAGAGCCATTCAAAATGTATGGCTCCAATCGCACTGCACACAAATCGCATGTGATTTGCACAGGAATGTGGTGCGGTTTCTGTGCGAATCCCATGCGATATACTGCACCACATATATGTGAACCCAGGTTGAAAGCATTCTTTTCCACATATGAATAAATCGAGATTTGATGGATGTTGGACACAAGAGTGAAGGAAACCCTACCAACTTTTTTGCATATTTGACATATATCATGCAGAACAGCAAAGACAGAGGAATCCTCTCTATGAGGACAAAGATATAATTTAAAATCTCCTTAGCAGGAACAAAGACAGCATTTAAAACATGGCTGAAGTTATTACTCATCCCCACTTTATTCAGAACAAAAAAGAAAAGGTTTTGACTAAAGTTGGGCCTAAAGCCCAAATCCAGGAAGCTTGAAAACTCCTCCATGCAGTGGTTTTGCACCTGCGCTGCAAGTGTTAACTGCCTATTTAGGTGGCACAATAAAAGAGACCCAGATCCTCCATGCTGCTAGACCCCTGTAGCATCTTCTCTCCTATGCTTCAGCAGTCTAAGGTCCAGACATCATCAAGACCAATGCAGGGTCCATAGCACAGGACTAGATGTCTTAATGTTCAGGGACAGTCTGCTACCAAAGCACGGGGCAGTAGATGGTCAGGGAAGTAAAATGTTTTTACTCTCCCCTAGACCTAAACAAAGCAGTTAACCTTTGCAGTGTGGGTGCAGCTCCACTGCATAGAAGAATTTTCAGATTTTATGAAGCTGACCTTTAAATATAACTCACTATTTTCACTGAGAAAATTAATCCTATAGGAAGTTCAGTAGGAACAGGGTCTTCTTCTATATGAATATTAGCAAATGGGTAATTCAGGTCTCAATATAACCTCTTCTGCATTCTTCTATATTGTATCCAAAATACCATGCTTGGAAAGCTGCCATAAATGAATCAAATCCACGTATCTTACCTTTTGAGGAGGTCGATAACCAGAGTCGAGGCCCTTGCACAAAGACTCATCTAGTAAAGCCTTCAGTCTTTCAGCAGAGTCTTTGCTCTTAGAGTGAAGGAAACCAAGTGCTTTGAGGAAAACTGGATCCAGCTCAGTGTTTATAACCGCTGCCATATTTAGTCACCTAAAACAATAGAATAAGTTAGATCAAATTCCAGGAAAGAGCTTGCCAATGCATCTAAGAGAATTATAGCGGGTGCCTATCTTTTTTTTAAAACTAATCTTTACCCTTACCTTCAGTCTTACATAATTGTACAGGCTACTCGTCTGTACTGAACTTGTTCAATCTAATTTCACTGCACACTGTGAGCTTCTCACAGTATGCATTTGAAACTGCAGCGAGTCAGATATAGCTTGCTACATTTCCTGGCTGAAGGTCATCCAGTATTATCTAGCCCTTTCCTCCCCAGACGGATCGTCCTTGGCTTGTCCCTATAAATATTTTGATTTCAGGTCTTTCAATAATGGAGGGTCAGTATCACATGTGGATTCAGCCTAGGTTCATATACATGCAAATACAGTCTGCATAGGAATGCCCTCTGCTCCAGACATACATCCACCCATTTAGGCTCCATGCACACTAGCAATTTTTCTGAGCTCAAAAAACGCTAGAAAAAAAAAGCTGGATGAAAAAGACCGATAATACTGTTTTTGTGCCAGCTTGTAGTAGCGTTTTAGTAGAATTTAGGAGAGTTGGCGTTTTATTAGCGTTTTTACATTACATGTAGGGGGAAAAAAAAAGCTGTTAGGAGTGTTTTAGTAGCGTTTTTTCTGAGGAATCACCAGAACATCAACTGCGAAAGCCAGAAGATCCTTGGACCTGGAGACAAACCTGCTCAGTTTATTGTTGAGCCTGGAATCCAAAAGGTCCATGTCTGGCATTCCCCAAATGCAGCAGTTGTCTTGAAACATTTTGGAGTGAAGAGATCACACCCTGGAGTCCCCTGGTGAATGAGGAAGTCCACTTGTCAAGTTTCACACCTGGAATGTGCACAACAGGCAGAGCTGGAATGTGACATTCTGCCCACCTGAGAATCAGATCCGCATTTCTTTGAGCTGCAAGATCTCTGGTTTCTCTGTAGGCATTGATGTAAGCGACTATCATGACATCAGTCGGCTGAATCTTGGTCAGATGGCTAGACAAGGGGACCAGCCTTGAAAAGATAACTGAATCACTCCAAGCTCCAGAATACTGGAAGATGAGCTTCCTCTGGTGAACTTGCTTGTACAAACAGGGTATCAAAGACTCCTCCCTAGCCTGACAGACTGGCATTCATTGTGAGGATCTTCCAGACCAGCAGGAGGAAGGCTTTCACTCACTTCAGTGCTGGATTCCTCATCCACTAGGCCAGGACAAGTCTTGTTTGTGAGTCAGCCAAATGCATAATTCAAGAGACTAAGCCTGCCTGTCTCTTGCTGCTACAAAGTTGAGTTGGGATGGTATTGGGCAGTTGAGACTGCCTCAAAGGAAGGCTACCATCAAGTCCAGAGCCATCACGCAAAAGCAGAGGGTTTATAGGCTCCTGAACTGTAGGGTACAGTCATATGAGGGGAGAGTTGAGTTTGACCTGTGTAATGTAAACCTTGGACAGGGCCATATTCAGGACCAGGGTTAGATACCCCAAGTGATGAGACAGATTTGACTTCTGAAAATTTAGGATTCACCAAAACCTCTGTAGGGTCCTGCACGGACGGTTCTCTCAGAAGAAAATTGTCTGGATATCCCACAATGAGGATACCCTAAGAGCATAGTAGAGACAGGACAGGGACTAGCACCTGTCACTGACAACCTTCTTGACCCTTTACAGTCTGGATTTCGCTCACTACACTCCACTGAAACTGCCCTACGAAAACTCACTAATGATTTACTATCTGCTAAAACCAATGGCCACTGCTCTGTTCTCTTACTACTTGACCTCTCTGCCGCTTTTGATACTGTTGACCATCCCCTCCTCCTCAAAAAAAACTCCACTCTCTTGACCTCCGAGACTGCTCTCTCCTGGTCGTCCTCCTACCTATCGCAGCGCTCCTTCAGCGTTAACTGTAACTCTGTCTCCTCCTCTCCACTTCCTCTTTCTGTAGGGATCCCTCAAGGTTTTGTCCTTGGACCCTTTCTCTTCTCCATCTACACCTCCTCCCTTGGTCACTTGATAAACTCCCATGGCTTTAAGTACAATCTCTCTTCTGATGACACACAAATCTATCTTTCTACTCCTCACCTCACACCTTCAGTCTCCTCTTGCATCACTAACCTACTAAGTGACATATCGGCATGGATGTCACTCCATTTCCTCAAACTAAATTGTTCTAAAACAGATCTCTTACTATTCCCTTCAGCCTGTGCCCCCTCTCCTGACTTCTCCATCAAGATCAATAATACAACCATCAGTCCCTCCACTCATGCCAGGGTACTAGGTGTAATCCTAGACTCCCATCTGTCTTTTCAGTCCCAAATCCAATCACTGTCCCAATCTTGTAGACTTCACCTCCGCAACATCTCCAAGATACGCCCGTTCTTAACCTCAGAAACCACTAAGCAACTTATTCACTCCCTTGTTATCTCTCGCCTTGACCACTGTAACTCCCTCCTCATTGGCCTACTTAATTACAGGCTATCCCCTCTTCAGTCTATCGTGAATGCTGCTGCCATTTTTGTACCCAGAGGAAGGTGAGGGCTGGATGCCCCTAGGGATCTGTAAATGACATGGCAGACGGACCTGTAGTTCTCAATGGAACATAAGTGCAGTGATCACCATACTCATAGTCCACTGTCATTTCCTCTAGCTGACCAACTAAAAATCTATACTTCAGTATGGACAGAGAGCTGAAGGAAGGAATGCCCCAAAATTGCATACAAGACAGCAGGTGGATCATGCCTTTCTTTTAGGTACACAAAGCCATAGGTTGTCATTGTGCACCATTACAGCGTTCCAGCAGCTGGCATCTTAATAACCAATTATGCCATTAGTTGATATTATTATTATTATACAGTATTTATAAAGCGCCAATAGTTCGCTCAGCGCTGTACATTACAAAGGGGGACAGAACATGTGACAGAACAATACCAATACAATGCAAAACATGAGGGGATCAAGGGCCCTGCTCTTTCGAGCTTACAATCTAGGAGGGAGGGGATAGTGGAGGATGTCGGTCGCCTGCACGGCATCCTTGTTTGCTCCTCCCCTGCCCCGCTCTGTCAGTAGGGTCAGGGGTGGGACTGCAACGTCACTCGGAGGGAGTTAGTGTGTTCGCCAGACGACGGGTGCATGCTTCAAACAGTCAGCGGAGGACTCGGTCTATATTTGATATGCTTTATATTGAATACAACACATGTGAGTGTAATACTTGGAGATAATAAAGCCTACTTTTAAAAAGGATAAAACACCATGTTTAGAATTTTTTTCCTATATGTGGAGAGACGTATGGAGAGGAGAGTATAGAGGACTTGGATCCTCGTGAGAAGGGATCAATCCCAGAGCAAAAATCAGTGATAACGGATATCCACTATTTTAAAGGAAAGAGTCTTAATCAAGCAGGTTCCATAGGAGGAGAACCAAAAGCGCATATAGCCTAATTATAGGCAGTTAAGGAGGTGAGCGTACATCTGCACTAATGGGAGGATTCACAACCAGTCACGGATTCACATGCAATCATGGATTGAAGATTAATTAAAACACAAAATCACTTCACAATATTTTTTTATGTCATATGGGACACTGTTTTCACACATATATATTAATTAAGTATTTATGTACATTTATTTAAATTATTTGAGTAATATATTGTTTCTTTTTTATTATAAGTGATGAAATATTGATTCAGCTATTTTTAATCACGGATTCAGTTATTGTTTAATCACGGATATCAATTAAGATTTGATTTTTTAAGTAAATTAAGGGAATATTTTGCATGTTATTTGGTTAAAATATTTATTGTATGATTTTTTCACTTATCCGCATATGGTTATAAGTTTAGGGTATGGATAAGTGATTATATGGGAAAAAAAAAATTTTTTAGGAGCGCAACACAATAGGATTATATTTAAAATTGAAGGATACATCTAGGCTTTTAAACTGCAAATCTTGTTCCTCAGGGCACAACTTTTCCCTGGCGTCAGAAATACCTTTGCCTGAACCGTGTCCAGGATCATCCCCAAATACTCCAGGCTCCAGTTCCAGGGCCGACTTTTTGAAGCTGAGCACCCAAGGATCTGTATTGTAAGGACCACATCCTGCTTCAGACCAGGCACTGACCGACCTCTGAGCAACAGATCGTTTAGATAACCTCTGACCGACTCCCCTGAGTTCTGAGCAGCCCCAATACTGGAGGAAGAATTTTTGTGAAGACTCTGGGAGCCGTGGCCAGCCCAAAACAGTAGTGCTATGAACTGGAAATGCTGAGCCCCTACTTCAAACCGCAGAAATCTTTAGTGAGCAATAAATATCGGCAAATGTAGGTATGTGTCCTTGATGTCTATGGATGCTAAAAAAATGTCCTTCCTGTAAAGACGCCACTATTGATCGAACCGATTATGTACGAAAAGACCGGACATTTGGAAACTGATTTAGCCCCTTGAGATCCAAAATGGGCCTTACATCAACATTTTGGCTTTGTGACTGTGAACAGGTTTGAATAAAACCCCTGAAACCTTTCGTCCACTGGAACCTCTGTGATCACCCCGAGACAACAGGCAATCGAGTGCCTGTAATAAAGCTCTTCTCTCCTCTGGATTCATTGGTACATTTGAAATTTGAAACCGGGGAGTGGGAAAGATCCGAAATTCTAGTCTGTACCCCAGAGAAATCATGGAAATGACCCACTTGTCTTGGATTAGAGCCTTCCAGGCAGCAACAAAATTCAAAAACCTTCCCCCCCACCCAAACGAGTGGGGGAGCCCCTTCATAAGGAGGCGGACTTTGAATCTGCCTCGGATGACCTTTGCACCAGAGCCTCCTCGGGTTTGATTCTGAGTCCTACCCCTGGATGCTGAGATCTTTGTGCATCAAAATGACTGCCTGGTAGATGAGAAGCCAGCAACCAAAGCCCCTTATATCTTAAAAGAAGGGTGTTTGGATTACCTTTAAAAGGGTAGAATCGAACTCTTTCCCCCTGAA